CACACACACACACACACACACACACACACACACACACACACACGAGGCCAGCTCTAAGATGCTCATCTATCTCATGATATAAAAAAAACCTAACCTAGCAGCTCCACTCTTCAGAAGATCCAGTCCAGAGCAACTAGCACGTTACTGAATGTTATTGTTAAAAATACATGGTTTGACCCAAAAAGAGGCCTCAATCTGAAATCTTCACAGTCATGAAATGCTCTGCGCYGCCTCTCCATGGAAACCGATTTCATTAGAAAGTTCCCAGAGGAGGATGAGTAAAGACAGAGGGATGACACAGAGAAATATGAWGGCTGGTGAGGAGTTAAAAACTCTTCCGGTTGTTTATATTTTGTTCACAACCACACACTGAAACTGGAAAATTCGACTTCGTTCCAACAGAAAACATCTTTTTTTGTTGTTGATGTTGTTTGTATCACTCTTGTCCCTCAACCCAGAACATATTGAGGCAACATAATTGGACACCATTAAATTCAATAAACCCTGAGAGGTCCTGCTTTAATTTGTAGCCCTGCATTAACATGACAAAACACAGATATATGCTAATGCGCACACGCCCTGTCCCACAGATGAAAAGCACACATTAATAAATGATAAGGATTAGGGTACATCCTTTAATGACGCCCACATTGTCCTCCTGGGAGTCAGACAGTCCCCCTGTTCTTTTAAGACCCGTCCATTTTACAAGCAGGTGTTTCAGCTCGACTTTGCTGCTTTTTTTTAAAGCTGCTCACATTTGTCGGGACAAACTGGAGCCTCTCGGTTTCACCTGCTGACAGAGCCATCTGCCGCGCCGCCCTGCAGCAGTGCTCCTGCCATATATTTATTACTCTGAATCCCAAAGGTGGGCTTCAGCAAAGACAGGAGCGTCCCGTTATCGGCTATAACTGGAGGGCACGCAGGCTATTTCGTCCTGATGTATTCAAGTATTTCACCGGTGGATCTAAAGGAAGTCGACACAGACGATTAATGAAGCTGTTGTCAGGCTGAAAGATAATARGCATGTTTTTGATGCGTTTTCCTGTTATAAGGGGTAAATCGGTGTAGATGCACGAGACCCAAGACGTATCAGTAATGATACATCTGTAAATGATTCGCTTTTGTAGAGTTCAGCCAAATCAATCAAATAAACTAAATGAAGGAGGAGTTGTGTTTTCATTGTGTGATTTCAGCAAAATGTGTTATTTTTAAGCAGTTATGATAGTAAAAATCTTGTGTTTATGCTACATTTGTGCCAACCCCGTTAGCATCTAGGGATTCTAGTTTGTTCAGCTCTACTCCAAAAGTGTTTTAAAAGGGGTTGGGGGCATTAGGGGGCCACCGAGAATCCTGGGGTGGCATCAAAATTAAAAGCCATACAGGAATTTCTAAGATTCTATTATGAAACTTCTACTTTTTACGACTTGTCAGGGAAGAGGACAAAAAAAATAAGCCAACTAAAGGCAAATGGAAGGCAATATTGTCATTGCCTGTGCCAGTGAGGGAATATTTGTCTCATGAACAGCTGAACAATACTGAATGAAACTCACAATAACGATTAACCTTTGGAGTCWAATTCAAAACAGCCAACAAGACTATCAACCTCAGCAGGCACATTTTAAAAATGGYCATTTCCCCTCTTTTTTTGTCCTATCAGTGAAACCTCTCGTCCTTGAAAGCCCTTGGTGAAGAGTGTGTCTCGCGGGAAGACAAACAACCTTCACCCTCCAGTAAGACTGCGTGTCATTGGCCAGTGGACAGAGCCGGCGCGTCCTTCAGGGACGTCCCCCACACTGATGGAGCCTGATGCGAGACCACCTGCTCTTCGTGCCTTCAGGTTGAGTCATAAAGATGCCTCKCTCCACTGTGTGGAGTTTTAACTCTGCTGTCTTTAAATAAAACATGAACGAGTTACTGTGTGTGGGGTTTTTTTAGCAGAGCTGAGTCTGCATGCAGTTTAGATTTTAATACATTATTTTACCCTGGTCTGTTTTTCATGCTTTGTTTCTTTTAATGATCACCACGAAAAGCAAGCAATCAGAAAAATGCCTGTCTATGTCTTTGTCTGCATGTCTGTTAGCAAAATATTTCATGAACCTACGAATACACTTTTATGAAACGTTTAGGAAGCATTCACCGGATGTATATCTGCAACTGAATACCTTTTGGATTCAACATACCGTATTTATTAGTGTATAATACGACCCCCCTTTTTTGAGCTTAAAATGCATAAAAAATTGAATCCTCAAACTACCTCCAATTTCATACAGACTTCAAGATTTTTCAGCCTTTGCAGTCT